ATCTAAAGTATTTAAAGAAAGAAAATATTGTGAGAGCAAGTCATTCCACAGAAAATGTATTTTTTAAAAATAAGGATAATAAAATAATCTCCCAGTCAAAATAATTACAATTAAAACTTCACTCAAAAGTCTGAAATGAAAAACTTGATCAACAAAATAAAGAACCAGTGAAACTGAAAGAAGATCAATATAGATTTTTTATTCTGAAGAATAAAAAGGAAAAGAATGAAGAAAAAGGAACAGATGCAGAAATCTTTGGTACCTACCAAAGCATACCAATTTATATGCAATTTGAATCCTGGATAGAGAAGACAATGGCAAGTGGGCAAAAAAAATGCTTGAAGAAACAATATTCCTCATTTTCCCAAAATGAATTAAAAGTCTTTTTATCTATATTCAAGAACCCTAACCAACTCAAGTAGGCAAGCCATAGATATTCTACAATTAGAAACATCATAGTCCTCCTGTTACAAGATAAAATATGGAAAGCACCGAGAGAAAACAATTCATCCATTCAAAGAAACTACAATAAGATTTAAGGTCATTTTTTATCAGACACAGTAGAGCCCAAAGAACAGTAGTCTACTACATTCAAAGTAGTGAGAGGAAAAATATGTCTTCAAGATTTCTCTATCCAGCCAAATTTGCCTTCAAACATGAAGGTGAAATAGAGACATTCTCAGATGTACATGTTTAAGCATAATTGCCTTAAAAATTACAGCAAATCACTCAAACAGCATAGAAATGATACTAGATAATACTTTGAATTTACAGGAGGAAATGAATGATGAAAAAAATTGGTAAATGTAAGAGACTATATATATTTTTTTATCTCCTCTTACCTGATTTAAGGGAGGATTGCATAAATATCAATAGGTTTACACATAAAGCAGTGTTATGTATGATAGTAACACAAAGGAGAGTGGAGGGAATTGAGCTACAACTGAACAAAGTTTGTATATTTCACTGGAATTAAATCAGTGTCACTTTGAAGAAAAAGCAATGAGTAAAGTTGCATTTGCTAATGTCTAGTGAATCATTAAGAAACAACTAACACAGGTAGTAAACATCCAATAGAGAAATTAAAATGTGGCACTAAAATTCCGTACCCAGCATAAAGAGGCTGATAAAGAGAAGCAGTACAACAAGAACAAGAACAGCAACTAAAATACAGGAGATGGGCTCAACAAAAGGGAAAACGGTGAGCAGATAAGTAGGAATTAACATCAAGAAAACATGGTGGAGAGAACCACATTTCAGGCAATGTGATTGCTCCAGAGATAAGAGAGCTTGTTCCCTTCTGACAGCCAGAAGCAGAAAATCCTTCTCCATAGGCCTCAGTATCTTCAGATGAGCCAGTATGTTCTTTAAGATGAGTGGAGACAAAGTTTATGCAGAGTAATTGTGCAGTAAAAATGGTCAAATTTAATTTCACTTGGATGATGCATGAATAGGTACAGGCACAACTGACTTTTACTGAAGTGCTTATTACACATGTTCAGTACAGTGGCTGGCTGTGTGTTCTCAGGATATTGCCAGCCAAGTGGTGTTTACAGAACACAAAGATTAATTTTTTTCTTTATGGTTAATGTATATAACAAAAGTAGTAGTAATCAAAATATTTCTCTAATACTGCATTCCTACTCAGGCTGAAATCAAGAACCATTGTTCTGATCACATAGGTCACAAAGGGATCATCAATTTTTATCATATCATCAGTGGGCCAATGTCATTGCTTGAGAAATACTGCCTCTGCGACAATGATAGATGACATGTTCAATGATAGATGACATGTTTCCTAAAATGAGCCTTTGCATTTCTCTTACCTTTGATAGAATGATAAGATAAAACCAACCTCCTTCCCTCATTCCCTTTCTTTCTTTCTTCCTTCCTTCCTTTCTCCCTTCCTTCTTTCCTTCCTTTCTCCCCTCCCTCCCTCCCTCTCTCTCTCTTTCTTTCCATGCCAAACATTGAAGCCCAGCCCCCGGCACACGCGAGCATTTGATCACTGAGCAACATGCCCAGCCCTAGAATATACAATTCTTTTTTGGTACCAAAACTGTTGCTCTGAATTGTATTAAATGTAGACTACTAATCTGCCCATGTCATTTAATCTATAACACACCACTGAGGTAAGCCTTGCACACTTTTGGCAATGATAGCATAAAAACCGAGTGCAGATTCATTGAAGTCAGCGTCTGTGACATCACTGATACTCTGGACAGAAGAAAGAAGCATGGCTTTTAGTGGCCCATATTTTTCTGGATATTGGCAATTACTTTCTCTTTCCCATTCTTGGCGACCCTGAATAATAGGCTGTGTTGATATCATTGGCACATAAATATCTTTCTGACATGACCACTTGGGTACAGCAAGAAGACAGAGTCCTGTTCATTATAAAGTGCAGGAAAGGGTGGTGAAGATGCCTTTAAAATGCTGAAACCATTATCTCTCTATTATTGCATTTTAGATTAAACACTTTTTAGATTAAACTTTTAATTAAAACTAGTTTAAAATGTTTGATTAAAATTAAATTTAATTTAAAAATTCTAGTTAAAATTTTTTGAGATGAGGCTCTTGCTATGTAGTCTGGGCCAAGCTTGAACTGGCTATGTAGTCCAGGCTGGCTTGGAACTAGTGATCATCCTGCCCTAGCCTAGTGGGTATTTCTTCTCTTTAGACTCACAATATTATTCTATTTGATTGTATTTCTGAATATTCCTACTCAGTTTTCCTCTGATGACTGATTATTCCCTGTAGGTATTTCTCAGATTTGTGATGTAAGGTCATTTCCTTCTTCATATATTCATTTCCTCCCAGGAATAGGACTCATTCTCAACATGCCATGAACTGTTACCCTTTGAATCTCTACATTTAACTCCAGAATTCTGCTTTAAACTCCAGATTCATGTTTAATTATCTTATGGACATATCAAATTTGTTGTTCTATAGGAATTTTATATCCATACATTCAAATGTGAGTTTACCCTTTCCTAAATCTCTAACTTCTGATTAATAATTTTCATCAATAATTCAAACAAAAGCCTGACATTCCTTCTGAACCCTTAAATTCCACACTCAGTCAGGAAGAAAGTCCCACTGATTTCACCTACCACCATTTTTTACATGCACCCTTCACCAGTCTTCCTATTTACTACTGCTTTAGTTCAGGCTCTCCTTCTCCCTTGTGTGTTATCATAGTAGTTTACAGGATCTTGAGGCATCGCACCTTGCCTTGGCTTTCATCAAGTCTCCGTGTTGCTGGAAGAGTGAACTTTTCCATGGTGCTTACCTTGCAATTTAAAATGTCTGAATATTTCTTGAGATCCACAATGAATAAATCAGAAATCCTTACATTAACAGACAAGGGCCTCCGGACCTAGGCATTTCCCATCTCCATTGAATGTACCTCTTCCGTTCTCTTTCTCACCTTTATCATCCTGCCATAAGGAACTGCTTTTGCCTAAGAAACACTACTCTTTCCATCTTCATGTCATTGTTGGTGCTGTTTTCTCCAAATTACAGCCTGGTGTGTACCTACTGCTTTTCCAAGGCCTGTGCAAACACTGCCCTGTTTCTTTCCTTCTTCATCAACTATCTGTGTGATGCTTCACGCATTTATGTATAATTTCCTGTAAGAACCACCAATTTCTGTTTGATGAACCATCAATTATTTGTTTCATTTTAATAGTCACGAAGCTCCTTTCAACTGAGTCCATATCTAATTCACACTCAAATTTAGTCTAGCAAACAGCTATGCAGAACAGTTCAACACATTTTTGCTGCATGAATAATTGATATCTGTGTGCTTTTACAGATTATCTTTTAAGATCTCAACATAAACAAGAAGGTATTGATTACATTTTATATTGCAGCTGATAAAAAGTAGGCACATGAATTTACTATAAATCACTGTAATTTAAATCATTGGAATTTACGTTAAGTCCCTAGTAAGGGAGAGGGGCTTTATATTCTTTATTTCTTTTCCTTCCTCCAAAAATTGCTTACTTAGATTCTTGACATGAGAGATGAAATTTATGTTACCAGTCTTTGTCTTACTCATTACCATATTCCATGCTGCCAATTTGATGTATGCCTCTATGTGCATAATTACTTGAATATGAACACACACACACATCCAATCCCTGTAGAAAATTGGTAGATTGAGGAACTTTGAAATTTTCAGGCTGATTTGTATAAAATTCAGTAATAGTACAGAGGCTAGCCGCAGGGCAGATCAACCCACCCCCTAATTCTGCCATGTTGAAATAGAGTATAGCATGTTTACCTATATATTAAAATATCTCCCAACACCTATAATATTCTTCCAAATATCCACTGTGATTTTTTTGGTTAGGTAGTATACCACCGCCCTTCTGCTAGGAAGGAAAGCAGCCCATATTATCTATTCCACACATCTATTAGGTCCAGAGTTATCTTTCCCTTTTGCAGGCGAAAGAAACTCATCTGAGGTACCTTCTATTTTCGAGATTATTTTTAAGTTTTGGAGGTTCTTGTTTGTTTGTTTGCCTCAAGACCATCTTGTTTAGATCGCATGAAGAGAAACTTCCGCCAGTATTCTAACAAATCTCTGGTTTATACTGAGTGAATCAGGAAGATACATTGAGATTGCAGAGGCGATATTCCTGGTCAAGCCGGTAAGTTCCTGTTTGGCTTTGGTTAGTTTTCCTTTTGGAAGCCTTCTTTTCAATTGGAAGCTGGATGATGTACAAGACAGAAAGGCTTCGCTTTATTTTATGACATATTTTTACCACTCCAGAGTAGACCAGGAGCACTTCCGTGCCATGAGTCTCTTTTCTGCTTTTTTATCAGATACCTCTGCACCCAACTGGCTTGATATCCACTAAACTAGCAGCGCAGCATCTGCCTGGCAAGTGTGAGATCTTGTGTTCGATCCCTGACATTCCCTCCCTCCCTCCCCCGGCAAAAAAAAAACAAAAATAGATTATAAGTAAAAATAATTCAATCAAATGGATACATATTTTGACAAGAATATTTATTTGTTATTGAAAAATACACAAAAAGCAAAAGGTTGCTTAACTGTTGGTCCTCCATAGTAAAGCAAGGTGTGGTAAGAAAGGGAGAGACATATCTGTCATTTATAGCAGTTTATATTTCTAAGGCATTTAGGAGCAAGAGCAGTAGGCTCTGTGTGCCTAGGTGCACTTACTTGACTTTAAATATACTGAGGCACACTAGGCAGGTGAAGGATTTGAAAACATACAGTTAAACCTCTTTCATGCATTGCTGCCTTAAAATTTTATATGCTTTCTCCCTCATCTTTCATTTTTTTCCATGTGAGCTTTGAGTTGTTCATAGAACACTGGTAATCTACTCTTCAAGAGTTTGAATTACTATGATAATACCTTTGGGACATACAGAACAGAACTATTTCATGGATGGGTTCTGTCTCTTACCAAAATGAGGCTCCAGTAAGAAAAACACTGATTTGCAAAGGCACAGTGGAGACAGGTTTAATGCATTAAATATAACATGAATCATTCACAATAACAAGTTTAGTGTTTCAGGGAACTTTTGTTAATACAACACAGTTGGTCACACAAAATACAAATGCTTCTGTTGATCTGTCTTGGCAACTCAGATATATCAACAGTGCTAACAGTTTAACAGCTTTGTTCTCATCTGACAGAAAATAATGGCAGTTCTGCAAGGCAAATGTTAAACCTGACCGTATGTATTTATTAATTCCACAGTGTTTTGACAGATTATAGGGGATAGAACTCAGAGGATGCTGACACGCTCGCTGAGGGCTTTCATCTCCCTCTCTTCTGTCTCAGGACTGTCACTGTGGCTAGCACTTGGATTGATCAGGTGTGCGGGGTACTGTAGGCCCTGCTCGCCTGCGTACTGTTCCCACCTCGAGTCATCGCTTTCATGGGTGATGTAGCGTTCCCCAATTTTGCATTCCAGCTCTCGTAAATCTAACCAGGTCTGATAGTCCTGAGGAAGAAATTCCAAAATGTTACTATAGAGATCATTACAACCCAACACTCTGTTCTGTATGTTGTCAGCTCCCACAATCTAGGAATGACCTTTTTTTCTTCCACTCTAACAGTACTGCATCATTTCTCATGCATCCTTGTGAGACAGTATCAGCACAACCATCTGATCAGCTTAACCTTTGAAAATACAGGGTCTATACGATACCATGAATCAAAGAATGAACAATGAATGCTTGTAGTTAAGTAACTAGGTATGCTGACACTCCTCTGAAAGTTAATACTGAGAAATAACCCTTCAGTATCTCAGAGTTAAATTTCAGTGTGAAAATAACAAATATATATGAAAACATAAGTACATCTCTATAGTTTATATCTGCCATTTACTTTTATCTATGCTTAATATCTTAGCATTTAAAACTATAGCTTCCAAGTGAGTACAGTGTATGACCAGATGGCTATCTATTTGGACTTTTATCAGGATTATACATACATAGGCTTTTGAAATCTGGTTCTCTGAGTGCTGTTATGATGCTTGATTTTCTTAGCACACGTGTGTGCTTGTGTGGCTGCCCTGTCTGATTTCATGTTACAAAAAGAGAGGTTTAGCAATACTAAACTTATTAAGTCCTAAGAAGTCTCATGCATTTTGGCAAACAAGTTGAAATTAGGATAATTACACTTTTAAAAAGTGGCAAAAATTTGTACATTTAATATCAAAATCTTACAAGTATTTGGAAGCTCATTCAAGTGGAAAAAAATCAATGACTGATTTTTACCTGTAGCCAAGGGTGACTGAGGGTCTTATCCACACTGTAACGCTTTCTCATTTTTACTTGAAGCAAATTGTTAATAAGGTCAATGGCTGAAAAAGTAAGAGCTTTTGTTAAAACAGATGATAAATATGAAATAAAAGCGTAATTCATTTGCAGTGTATTTCATATCTGCTATTTTACAGTGTTGAATGCAGCATAGCAGTAACAAGCACTAGAACTTGAAAATTTTCCTCTTGAGAATTATAAAATGTGGATTTCATTTTATTCTGAACAATAAAAAATAATGAATTTGGAAATAATTGTGAAGGAAGGAATAATAAATTCTTTTGCATGATGTAAATTTCAACTGGTCTACTCTTTAGTACTTGTAGAACAGGAATTTTGTTGAAATATACATCATTTAAATATGTCTTGCACAAATATAAAGGTGAGATTAATATTCAAAACAAAGCATTTAATAATTTTGTTATTTAATGTGCTTGAATGCACATAACTGGCTTTATAGCCTTGAATTAGATTACAGGCATCTGGACAGCATGTTTATATGGAAAACATAGCATACCCCGGTTGGTGTCTGGTAATAATGTTTGATCCAAGAGGAAAACACTTACCTCTTTTATTTTGCCTTTCCTTTTAAAATTAATCAATGAATTGGAAGTATATCAGCTGTTAATAACCTCCTATGGGAAGGCAGGTAAAAACCCTGTTTAACAGGAATTGTTCTCTGAAGGCTTAGAGCCACAGGCCATTCAGACACTAACACTCTGACTCTGGCTGCGGTTTCTATGCATGGAATTTAGAAAGAACAAGTGGTTCTTCTGGTTCTCTGTCCACAAAACATCCGGGTTACCTATAGTACTACCTTATGCGAAGTTCTCACTCATCTTTTCTAGAAATTGTATTTTCAGCCTACACCATGAACAGTTCACTACTTATGTAAGTTGTTATATTACCCACCCCTTCTTATAATAACTTCTATCTCTTCTCATTTCATTTTCTCCCCAGAAAGAACTAAATGAATCATTCCAATATAATGAAAGCATTTATTTTTGAGAGAATTAATTCTCATCTCTAACCTACTCTGTATACTAGGTCTGAGAGGTAGACTTTCTACCAAAAATTTTAATCAAGTAGCTGATTTAAAGGAAGAGAGAGAAATAACTCTCTAACTTTCCTAACCATCAAGTCAGGCAGCTTTGACTCCACAGTACGCCCTACATCAACCTGTATGGGTCTGAAGACGCAGATCACCGCTTGTGTTCCAAAAGACAAAGGGCACTTCACTCAATGAGAGTCGATCAGAGCCTTCTGCATATTTAAGAAAGACAAACGATGTCTACAGTGTTTTGGTAATCCAGAATTGTATTCCCCTGTTGCTAATAGACTTAGTATTTGCCTGCATCAAGGAACCATAGGATCAGATGCCAGAAAATTCTTTGACTGGAAAAATTAAACACAACAGCCCACATTTAAATGGCATCTATGCTTGTGCACTCACCTCAGCTAGGATACTTGAGGAAATAGTACTTAGTACAATTTCAAATTCTAAGCATGTGTTCTCAGAGAGCTTTTGAAAGTAGAGTTCTCTAAGTGAATGGAATACTGGGCATGAGCTTTAAAAGACCCATTCATATAATTTACTCACTGGTGAATAAAATACACCTTCCATTCTCACTAATGTGAAGTCACCCTGCAAAAATGGCGGATAAAGGACGGAAGGAGAGCTTATGTGCTATGGTAAGCATGCCGCAGCAACACACTTCCCCGCTCACTGCAGGGATTAAACACATGTTATTAATTCACTTATTCTGCTTTGAATTCTGTAGGAGTGCAAGAACTCAACAAAAGGTCTGGTTTGCTCCCCAATGAGCCCCAACAGTGAGCCGCACTGTGTAATGGACAGGAAATACTGCTAGAGGAGAAGCTAGAAGTGTTCTAAGGCAATGGAATACGTAAAGATGAAAAAACTGTTCTTGTGAACGAAACATATATTCTTAAGTCTGACTATGCCACAAATGCCCTTGAGACTTGAATAAGCACAACCACACACTGGCATGTACCTCCAAAAGAACACAGCTTAGGACATAATCAGGGAATTAGATGGGCTGGGTGCACTCACATGTGTGTGTTTATATGTGTGTGTGTACATTCATATGTGTAAATATATTTTGGGCTTTTGGCATCAAAAAGCAAAAATAATTAACTGTTAAATATTGGATCCTATAATTAATGTTGGGACCTTGGTATTACTGAGAAAACAGTTTCGTTCCTGGCACCTGAGAGTTCTATCCTACTTGTCACGTGTCTGGAACTCTCAGGTCATTTTTTTTGTATTACATATCTCAGACAATCCAGCATAAACTGCTCCATCCAAAGTGCCTCTCAGTAAATCCATCTTTAAACGAAGAAATTCTAAAGTTTTCTTTCTTCCTTTTTTTACTATGCTGGAGGATAAAGAGATGTCTCTACTGACCATGTCTAAACTGCTATGATATCCATGTTATAAAAGTTCTTCACATGGATGTATAAGTCTGGTCATTCACCACCTCTTACCAAAGTAATTATTGTTGGGTGATTACTTCGGGAATGAAAGCTAGTGATAAAGCCCTGGCACTAAAAGCCCCTAATCTGGTTGCAAAAGCAGGAAATACACGCGCATGCCGTGCTACCTTCAGATTCTATAATGACAGAATGAACCACTTAAAATCTCTAACTTTTAATTACTGTTATATTAAAAAAAAAAAAGAATGTTTTCCTCATTAGTCTTATATTTTACTTGAGGTGGAGAACTTGACTCTGTCCTACCTGACAGTTCTGCAAGTCTTTGACACAAGCAATTCTCTTCAATCTCGTCTTCTAGATTGTTCTGCTGTCTTTTAGACCTCCAAGTCTAAACAGCTCTATATTCATGGTCACTAGTTTTTTCAATATCCTTTTAACAATTCAATGATCATTATTGACCAGAATTTTCCTTACTAACTGCCAAGTTGATTTACATATACAGGTACTATTCACATAGTTTAGGTTTTTTCATTCTTTAAAAAAAATTGCATTCATAGTCTTAATCTTCATCACAACTCTATGAAATAGTCATTATTTGAATCTCCATTTTATAGCAAAGATAAAAAAAAAAAACAAGGCTGGAGATATAGCTCAGAAGTGGAGTACTAGTGTAGTAGGTGGACTTGATCTTAGCCAAAAGGCCTAGAAGCAATTGGGTAACAAATGAAAGGCTCTCAGTTCAATCCTAAGTTCCACACCCCTGCAAAAGAACTCAAAACAATCCCTCAACCAAACCAAACTAAACCACTGAAGCGTCAAAAGCCCATATCATCTGGTCAAAGCCAGATAGTTCTGAGGCAATGGAGCTAAGGTTGAAACATAGAGGGACAAGCTTCAAAGTCTGTGCTTTTATGTACTAAGAAAGAAAGCAACCTTATTATACTACTAGTTCACTGCTGTTTGTTGATAATAGTGTAAAAACTCAACCAAATTTTATTTTTCCTGAGTCATGAACATTAAATTCTTCTTTTACATTTCCATGACACCTTTCTGCAGGGATCTGTGTGTTTCATTGTGGTTATAGTCTATATTTTAGCACTCAAAGATGATTTTGAATGTAATATGATCCCTTCCTATCAGAGAGGCTGTTAGGATTTTTATTCAGATGTCCCCCAAAATCTCATGTTCTCATAGATGGAGCTGTTAGGAGGCGACAGGTTCTTGGGGGTGTGGTGCTCATGACTGGGTTGCCCCTGATGAGTTTATAGTTCCCTGTGATGTTGGGAGATGAAGCCTGGTCTGAGGAAGCAGATCACTGGGGTATGGCCCAGAAAGCTACCTCCATCCCTCCTCACCTGATTGCTCTCTGCTTCCTGCCACCATGTCATAAGCTGGTTTCCCTCTGCCATGCCATTGTGCCTTGGAGCCAGCTGACTATGAACTGAAACCTACAAACCATGAGCCAAAATAAACCTTTCCTCTTCACAGTTGTTGCTGTTGGATATTGTGTGTCAGTGGTGAGAAAGTAACTAGGACAAAGGCTAATCCTCCTAGCTTCTGCCATGTGCACATGGCATACACTCACCTGCTGTGTGTTAATCAAACTTTGGGGACCCTTTTACAGGACAAAGCTTAAACATCAGGCTTGTTGACTCTTATTTTAGATCATACACCCAACTGTTGTGCCTACTACGCGCTCCTTGAGCAAGCCTTATAAACAAGCAGTGTTTTCTTCTATGACGATCTCCATCTCCTCCGTGCTTTATCATCTCCTCTAAAGGCTAATTAGTGTGGGAGATCTCTTTTTCATACTCTTTGCTACAACCAAGACACCTCGGTCCTTGATATTACCCATTTTACCAATCTGGCAATCCTACTCAAAAAGAAATTGTGGTAATTATACAGCAAAAAAGAAAAGAAAAAAAGAATTCTGAACTTGGACTTTAATTGTCAAACTGGAGTTGAGAAACCACTTTTGGCTTTCTTTCCCCGGACTGTAAAGCTCTCTTCTGAGACTGCTGTGGCTGCCCCAGTTTTGAATGGTTTCCCCTTCCTCTTGCCTTGGTCCATTACTCTTAACCAGTTACATATAGCAGTCTCTGCTGTGAGCTAGCAGGGGGATACTGGGATGGAAATGTTACATGATGACCCTCAATGGCAACCATAAGATGGATAAATACTGGATATTGGTGAAGCCAACACATATGCTCTCAGAGCCATTGTAATTTTTAATAAAGCATGAATAAAATAGGACAGATAGAAGCATAGTTAGGAATTTACTTAATTTCTCAAAGGGAGGAAGAATGCATGCTGAAATCATTCAGCAAGAATTTTAATATTTATTGCTGACAAATCCTAGAATGAATGAATAGATGGTGTGCAGACATTTAGGAAACAAATCTTTCTATGCATTTCAGGCTGGACTTGAACTCATTGTGTAGCCCAGGCTTTCCTCAAACTCATGGCAATCCTCCTGCCTCAGTCTCCTAAGTGCTGGGATCACAGGTGTGTACAACCACGCCTGGCCAAATTCGGAATTCTGATCTAGAAGGAATGTGGTAGCACATGTGTCTGGAACTGTGAAGCA